TTCACCGTAAATTTTTATTGTTATCACAATAGTACCTCGGAATAATACTCTATTGTTCGCCCCGAAATACAAATTTTCTAAACTCCCCAGGTGACCACAGACCTCTACCAGGTGCTTGACAGCAAAGGATATGTGCTGGAGTGCCGCGGAGTCGTTAAGGTCAAAGGTAAAGGGGAAATGACGACCTACTTCCTAAACGATGGGCCACCCAACAGCTAGCAGCCATGGCAGCAGCGGACGCTGGGTCGGTACCCACTGCAAGGACACGGCACCACTGAGCGAGCACTCGCAGCGCAAGCGAAACAGCTGAGAACTACAATCGCCATCACTTGAATCCCAAGCAAAGAGGAAAACATGAACTTTTAGGACTCCGGAGAAGGGAAAGCGTTCTCGACGGGAGGAGAAAGCTCTTGTTTGACAGCCATCTTGGCCCGCGTACATGTTGGAGGACAACGTGTTTTTCTCATGTCTAGCCTCTCTCTCAGGCTTCTTGAAAGATGCAAAGTCTGTTTATTTAAAACAACGCCTTTTAGCCTGTGTGAAAAGAAAAATCGCTGTACATAAGGCTACCTTTTATTTTATTTGTTGTTCTTTTGTTTGGTAATTATTATTATTTTTTTGTTTGTTTGTTCGTTTGACACAGTTTATGAACAGGTACTTTTGTTCCCGCTTTAATTATTTATTTCAGTCTTGATGTTTCGTGCTAAAGGTCCTTTATGAAAAAAAGTGTGAACACATACGTGCACAAATATCCAGTTTATTACACGTTTATAAGTGTGTATGTACTTGCATATTTGTGTGTGTATGACTATATGTATAAACTGAGGAGGAATATATTGACCAAAGACTAAAGTATTTACTAAAAGCAAGGCAAATATTGTGATATGTTTTCGCTGAAGTCAGCAATGATCACCACCTTTGTTTTTTCTGTTTCTTTGTTTTTGTTTTTCTTTCGCCCGACTTCTGGCAGAGAAGGCTAATTTTCATAAAATACAGAGTTTATTTATTTTGTCTGTCATTTAGGCAGCAGAGAACAGATTTTTAACTCTAAATAATAAAATGACCCTCAATCATTTTAACTGATGAAATTAAAAGTGATAAAGATGACTAGATATGCTATGGGAGGGATTATATATTTTTATCTGAGCAAAACAAAGATCCAGCTCAGATTGGGATTAGAGGACTCTCCACTGGTTTGAGCTCCTTTTTGTCTCTTTTCTTTTTTTTTTTTTTTTTTGGGTGGAAATGAAGGAGCATAAATCAGTGAGCTGTTCCAGAACCTCCAGGTAGGGAGGGGCAGAAACTACGGATTTCAACGCAGTTGCGTCATGCAGCTTGATTCTTCTATGAAGAAGAAGTAGATGAAGGAAAGAAATATCCGCTGATTTCGACTGAATACTGTGCTTTGTAATCCTGAAGGGGCATAACTATTTTCACTGTGAGGTTTTTATGATACAACAAAACTGCTTTCTTGCCAAACATAACTGCTTTGAGCATGTCTTACTGTGGTTTCTTTTTCTTTTCTTTTATTTCTTTAATTTTGGCTTTCCGTTGGTTTCAACGTAGGGTATTTTGTATAAATTCTGTACCCATCATTTGTATATTCTTAGTGTTGTTATTATTATGATGATTCTGGTTAGTTATTATGCTTAATATGATGATTCCATTTCCGACGAAGAACAGCACGCTTTCTTGTAAAATTCAAAGCTCACTGGTACCAACGGATCAACTGCTGGGTTCTGCTGCTTGCGAGACAGGATCGAAGTCAGAACCACTGACCCAGATAGGAGCACCCAGTTGAGAAAATTACAGCAGTTGGCACACATGAGTCACTGTGTGTTTTATTTAATCCACTCCAGTCAGGCTCTAACAGGCCCTTTTTTTTTAAGTTTTTTTATTTCAGCGGTAAAAAGACAGAAAGCATCCCTGGTGTTGCTCTGAATGGACAGGCTGGTGCAGGACAGGCAGGTTGACATTTATCCACATTAATATGACAAAGTTTGTGTGTATAAAATCCATTAAAAAATATGGAATCATTACTTGCTATTTTGTAGCAAAAATAAACAGATCAGGCTTTATTTTTAAATAAAAGAAATCACAGAGATGGCCATGGTTTAGTTAACAATTTCAGATTCTTATTATTGGATGCATTTTATGCGTCCAATAATAATAATAATTTAAAAAAGTGATGTAATTAATGGCATAATTGTTTTTCAGATCTGATTTAAAAAAAGTCGTAATTACTCAGTTGAAGAAGCAAATATGGAGTCATGAACTGAAATATCATGATGACTGTTGCAAAATATGAAACAGTTATGACAGTTTGCAAGACGTCTGTTCAGATCGATTTCAGAAAACAAAATACAGATAATAATGAAATAAAATCAGAATAATTAGTATTTTGGTTCCTCAGTTGATGTTCCTTTGCTCAAGACTAATCTGCATTATTATCCACATTTTGTCCTCGACAGTCTTTTCCCCCATTTGACATGAAACAAATTAATATTATAATTTAATATTCTGAGGTTCTTTTTTAAAACTTTTTTACAGAGCTGTTGTTTATATTTTTCTTTATTTCTTTCAGTGTGAAACAATAGACCTACATGCATCTACAAACGGTTTTAGATGAGCATGATAACCTCGAGCAACAATTTCATGATGTCAGCATTTACACAAAAATTGAGAATAGAAATAAAAATATATTGCTGCTACTTAAATAATATATTAATTATGACAGTTATAATAATGTTACTCATTTGATGCATAAACTTAAGTAAAAATATGCAATAAACGCCTACAAAATTTAGCTGTAGTTTTCAATGCTTATTGAGCAGAATGCTATTCATTTTATTGTTTTGGCTCTTTATGGTGTACCACAAAAACAACTAACTGATATTCGCTGTTCAGTTAGTCTATTGTCCAGCTGCTTTACAGACACTTAGCTTGGTGGTTGCACTTTGTGTACAAATAGAGTTGCCGTAATGAGGGCGATATGTGGCGCATATTTAGTTTCCACATCAGCATCATCAGAAATATTTCCAAACTGCCAAATTTGTCTTGTATTATTGAGGAGCAAGAGAGCAGCATCAGTCCTACCCAATTATTCCTTTGACATCTCATTTTAAACTTCAGGAGCAGAAGCTGGAACTTTTTTTTTCTTCTTTTTTTTTAAACTTGGTAAATATCTGTGAGTCAAAAATGAAGAAGGGCTTTTTGAAAGTTATTTTAGCCAAACATTTCACCACCGATGCAGCATCCTCGCTGTCTGCAGCAGCAAACAGTTGATCTTGTTTGTACCAAAGCCAGCTCAAGCAGTCTTGTACTACTGGTTTCTCCTGTGCAACGGAGGCCTGGGTGCGTTGGGAGCATCAGGAGACGCAACCAAGATCGCCAACTATCACACAAACTGTGACCAATGACGAGCCTAAAGCAGAGAGTTTATAGAATGGACATGAGTTCATAAAGATGTTCATTGTATTTATTCTATTTCTACTAGCTGTCCATGGACTTGTGTTGATTGTTAACTCTTGGGATGCTTTCAGGGGAAACGGGAGCCGGGAGGAATGAGTTCCCCATGCTACTGAAACAGTGTTTTTGCTCAGGCCCGATGAATCCTTCTGGTTTGTTTTCTTCTTCTTTTTTTTTGTTTGTATTTTACCTGAGTTGGAGGAGTGGAAAGGGGAGTGTTTTGCTCAGTTGAAAAGAAGAGTTGAGGACTATGACAAAGAGAAAAATAACATTTCCCCTTGAAGAAAAAAATAAAATGTAAAAAAAGTACTTTTTCTCCGTTAGTGTTTCTTGTTGTTTTTTACCATATTGACAGGTGCACATAAAATATGTCAAACCAATTATTTTTATTTTTACAACTAAAAACTCCCATTTTCCATTTATGCAGATTTTGTATGGAAGCCCGTTTCCATCACTCGGTTAATAATTATCTCATTATTTTGAGATAAATATAATATCTCATTATACTGAGATACTATATTTTGTTTAACACAGTGGCAGAAACAGGCTTCCATAGTTTTGCACAAAACTACAAACAGGATTTTATTGTTCTTGTAATTAACCCGACTGTCCTCTAGGGGGCACAAGCCTACAGAGGATCGGTGTGAAAAACGTCAAGAATATATGCAACAAAAAAACCACTGATCTGATCATGTGTTGGTTCCTGACCCCATCCAGAGATGGACTCCACTAAAATACCTGAGACCAAGAATCAGACTTCCTGGTTCGGCACACACCTCTGATTCCCGACTGGACCGAGATCTAAAGGTACCAAACATCAGGGAGTCCTGTTTCCATCCTGAAAGGTCTTTTAGCAGAGTGAGCTGTAATATGTTAGATATGTTAGATTGAACCATAAAATGCAGAAGTAGTTTTGTTCCTTATTTGAAACAATGCTGCCGATTCACCGCTGTTCCTTTCTTGGATCACATTCAGTAGGCCTGAAGCTTTGGAGATGCTTTAACCCCTGTTGAGCATTTCTGAATTTTCACTTGATAAATTCTTTATTAATCCCAATGCAAAAGAAAATGTTGTAATTGCTCATGTTATCTGAATTTCTTGTGGACAGTGGATACAACTCTTTACAGCTCAAAAAACACAACTTCTTAAGAATATTGTCAGCATGTATATTTTGTATTTACTAGAGATTTAACAGAGTACTGTAGCACTGCTGTACCACATCTTATAGTTCACAATTAAAATTGTGCATTATATGCATTAATTTGAGAAATTATTAGTTATATTTGTGTATTTAAGGCCACATTTTGTACTTTTGATTTGTAATCGTCTATGTGTTGCTAAGAGTCTTGGCCAAATCTCTCTTAAAAAAAAGACATTTTTAATCTCAATGAGAATAACCCGGTTAAAAAACATTGCATGCATACATTTCTTTTTATATATAAAGAGAAACAACTGATAGGAAGAACAAAGCACTGAAATTTGATTCAACAAAATGAGGTTGAAAAGTCAAAAAGTTGCAGGGTTTTTAATTTTTTTTTTTTTTTTTTTTTTAACTTCCAGAACAACAGACATGTGGAAGGGAGCGTGTGCATGGTTCTGCTTCATGAAGCCAAAACATGAGGGAGCTCAGAACAAACTGAAGTCTCGGTGTGTCAAGATCATTGTGCCAACGAACCTGGGAAAACAACAGTTGGTTTATACCGACAGAGGCTTAGACTAGTGGAAAAACATATTTATGTGTTATGGTAACAATACTCGCCTTGTCATCTCGCTGGATTTCCGAGGAAACCTTTGGCATTGGGTCCATGGTTCAGTGCTCATGTGTCTCATCCAGCCGTAATACTGGTTTTGTGTCAGAGGCTGTACATACAGCTGGTTGGGAACTGGAGGACAGAAGAGGCTTTTAGTTTTTGTAGCAAACAGGAGCCCAAAGCAATTGTTTTTTTTAAAGTCTGCTAGCTTACGCCTGGGTGGTTTAGCCTTTTTCACCATTTCTGCGTATCGCTCATGACTCCCTTGATGATCCTCAGTGCTGTAGCAAGGAGGCTGTAGTAGCAGTTTGGTCACTTCGTCATTTGTGCCTTGTTCTTTAACCATTGGCCGAAATTCCTTTTTGGGGTGAAAACAGTCATCTAAAAACAGAAATATTTCAACAGATGAAGCTAATTATTATTACATTGAAACGTGTTTTTACTTGACAAGGACAATTTGCTGAACTCAGATTTTTATGTTCTATTCATCAGTACAAAAACAAGAAATTATTTCATCAGTAAAGTACTTCTATGTGAATTTTTGTTATTATTATTTTAACTCGTGTCTTTCAATCTTTCAATGCATGTCTGTCTAATGACTGCACTTTTTTTTATTTTTTATTTTTTTAACAAAACGTTTTAACTGAAAGCTGAGGTCTGTTTTGAATGAGGTTGCAGCCAAGACGAACCTATAGAGTCCAGTCTGGCCTCGCTGCTGCTCCTTACCTTCAGTCGCAGGAACGCCCCGCGGATTTATCAGCATGTTGTCACCGATTGGGTTCTGATAGCCCAGCTGGGTCAAGCCGAAGAAAGCCATGTGTGCTACGGATCCTTTATCCAGTCGGGGTTCTGTTCACGACCAGCTTTCAGATATAACCACAACGTTGTTTACCTGTTACCCTGGCAACAAACCACGCCCTCCTTACACGACAATCTATCTATCTATCTATCTATCTATCTATCTATCTATCTATCTATCTATCTATCTATCTATCTATCTATCTATCTATCTATCTATCTATCTATCTATCTATCTATCTATCTATCTATCTATCTATCTATCTATCTATCTATCTATCTATCTATCGTTATTTAATTAGTTCTGGCTTAAATGACTGCATTACTAATATTTTCTGTTTTGTTTTTTTGCTTCTGTAATGAAGTTGTGTCGCTTGCTAATCTTCTTGGCCCAAAAGCTGTTTCTTTCTTCACTGTTGTCAACAGGTAGATTAAGGAAAGCGGCGCACATCAATGAATTCAGTCATCCTAAAACCCCATTGAAGTTATACAAGTTTTTAAGAGAGCCACTGTAACATGGTCGAAATGGTTCAGATGAAATTCTGCTAAAATGGGTTTCATCGTTGTCCTGTAATGAGTGGTTTTTGGCGCCCCCTACTGGTTGCCTATAAAAGGAGGAGAAACGGTAGATTCCATCTGTTCAGCTCTCTACTGTGGTAGGTCATCAAGTCCAGTTCTTTTCTGAACAGTAGTGGTGGTTGTGCTCTAAGACTAACGTGGATTTTTATTGCAGTGCCCAGAACTAGTGGACCAGTAGGGAGGCTCACTGTGCTGTTCGTTATTAACCACTCATTACAGGTAATTATGTCATGTTAAATGTCAGAAATTTATGTTGTCAGTTATGCTTGTCAGTTTTTTTCAGTTGTCGGTTTGCTGTATTTGCCAGTCTGTCAGTTTGGTTGTTCCCTGTTTCTATAATGACATGACGTGGCCAGTTAGAGGTTACTGTTAAATAGTTTATTCGTTAAATTTGACTGCTGTCTATGTTTATTTTTCTGATTTTTCTTTAGTTATAAGAGAAAGACCAGACTGTATGAATTATCATTTGAAAGTTGTACTATCAATCAAAATCCACTATACAATCACCTGTTACAAAACTGTGTTGTTGGACCCGATTGTAGTGATTATTTGTAGGACACATTCTGTTCAGCACTCTACTGTGTACCCAGAAGTAGTGGACCAGTAGTTTAAGTCTGTTTAAGATTGAACTTAAACAGTCAGAACTTACTCCAGTCTGTCACTGGGTGGGAGAACTGGTGCAGCCTGACTGGACAAGTCATCTTATTAGCAACATAAATACCCATATATACCAAAACACACGACACATAACAAACAGTCATGCATGAACACAATCAAATCTGCAGAGTGGCTCAATTGTGTTTCTCTTTCGACTGTTGGAGGAAGCGTCAGAGATGAACCCAGAAAGGAAATGGAAACTCCAGGTCTTCTCATTGTGAAGAGTTACAATTAAGACCGAAATTCAGTAAAAACGAGCTCTTTTAAGCAATATTAGAAATATATAACCTTTGTTATTCCCTTTTGTTTGAATTAAACATAGCCTTTTATCTGAAGAACATATTTTTTCCAATTTATGATCATGGTTAGTAATTTTTGGCTGAGCTCCTTGCTACTAATCAGACACTGGTGTCACTAAGGCTTATGAATTAATCTTTGTAAGTTTGAATAAAACATGAAGACTCAACTAATTAACAATGGATTGGTTTATATTGCATTTTTTAAAATTTATTTTCTTCTGCCATTTACCTCAGACAAACATTTACTAGTCTGAGAATCTGGTCTTACTCTCATTCCTCTCATAATCAGATAAACGTAATCTTACAAGAAATGCAATTTAAAAGTGAAATGGAAGTTAAAAATAGCTGAGCCGAAGTGAAACCAGGAATAAAGAATATATTTCCTGGCAGTCTCACCGCAGCTGCATGACTGAGTCAGATGTTTTTTAACCGGTTTGAGCAGTTGAAAAAACTCCTTGAGACATACTGACCCGACTGAGCACCTGTGCACTTCTTTGTCTCCACAAGACGTGGGAGGAAACAAGACAACACAGAGACAAACTCAAGCAAAAAGTAAGTACTTTTCTCATTTAATAAAGGCAGTGTTGTTTGTCAAAAACACAGGTTTGCTAAAGTTATTTTTCAAACATTATGGTCTTTGTAAATGGTTGAAGGATTTTCTAACAAATGATTGCATCGAAGCTTGATCAGAACCTTCCTAGTGCTCCTTTTGTCTTGTTGAATTTGTTACAATATATTTAAGTCACTACTTCATTCATTTCCTGACAAGTTTTCTGTCATTGTTAAAATGATCGCGCTTGTATTACTGTTTAAATAAGACAAAAATAACTTTATGAATAGTCAAATATATGCAAATAAAAGAATTTGTTTTTTCCGAGCATGACGTAGAGCAGAGTTTTTAGACTGCAGCTGTTGACCAGGTGAAATAACTATTTAAAATGATATTTTTGTTGTTCATACTGTTGCATTTTGTTTATTTTTCTCTTCTCAGGTCCCCATCTCTCTCTGAATATCATGCATTTTTATTTGCTTCGACCCAAGCACTCAGTGAAGATAGCATTTTCCGGTTTTCTGTGTTTGTCTTTCATCATACACTTCTACATCAGCTACACAACGACGACACATTCCCCTAAACCTCCCGAGGGAAGCGTGGGGAAACTCAGAGGATCTGTCCCTGACCAGACCACCTTGTTTACAAATTCCTCTGTCCACAAATGTCCTCCTGGATTTTACAGCATGCAGGAGCTCAGGCCTCACATTCAGAGGCCTTACCAAAGTCACTGGAAACCCGGAGCAGACGGCAAGCCATTCGTGTGGGGCTCTTTGACTACTGAGGAACAGAAAGAGGAATCAAGTGGTTTTAAGAAAAACCAGTTCAACCAGTTTGCCAGCGATCGCATCTCTCTGCACCGGGATCTGGGAAAAGACACACGGCCTCCAGAGTGAGTTTATCTCAGGAGAACATTGTTCATTGGTGACGTCACCCTTCAGGCAAGAGATAAATCTATGCGTTGTTTAAAAGCTGCCTCTTAACTTTCAGTCTGGCTCTGACAGCTGCTTGAAGCAGAAGTTTTTGAGATGTCCCGGCTTTCCAACCACCAGCGTGATCATAGTGTTTCACAACGAGGCCTGGTCCACTCTGCTCAGGACCGTCTACAGCGTCCTGCACACAGCTCCTGCTGCTCTGCTCACAGAGATCTTACTGGTGGACGACGCCAGTACAGATGGTGAGTGAGATCACTGATAATTAATGGTACAACTTAATGCTTTCACAGACACAGAGCCTTGCAGAAAGTTTTCACAACTCCTCAACTATCCCTTTTCATGAGGGAAACAAAAACATATATATATTTTTGGGGGATTTTATGAGAAATACCATCCCAAAAAGCAGATAACTATGAAATCTAAAGGAAATGGTACAAACTTTATGTTTTTTTCACTCTTTTTATGGTTTTATGGTTTTTATGGTTACCTTCAATAAAAGTTAACTGTCTCCAGAAGTCACAGAGTAGAGTTCACTTGTGTTTGATTCAATCTTGGTTTAAATCCGATTGGTCCGTGAAGATTCCAGAAATTTGGTGAACAAACAGCTGAATGAAGATAAAAAAATAAAAAAAATCAAAGTGATGAAGACCAAGGGTCACAACAGACAAGTCAGGGATAAAACTGTGGAGTTTTTCCTAAACACTTTTCATTGATCATCTGAAATTGGAAAGAACACAACTGCAAACCTACCAAGATCTAACTACGCACCTAAACTGAAAGGAGATAATTCCTCTGGAGGAGCTGCAGAGCTCGTCTCAAACAACATCAGGAAAATTATGCCGTGCACTCCAAACTTCTGGTCTTTTTACGAAAATTTGCTATAAACTTGAAATGTTTGCAATGAGTCATGTTGCAACACATGTGGAGTAAGGTAATTTTGTCAGGTGGGACCAAAAGTGAATTTCTTGGCCTAGATGTAAAATGTACTGTAACATGGGGCTTGCATTGGGATTAACATATCTTAATAAAGATGTGTTACATATCTTTATTAACTGGAAGGAAGCTGGTCAGAGTTGATGGAACTTCCAAAGACATGCTACTCTACAAGCAGCGAAAGTTAGTAAGTACTCATTCAAAGGAACTGCATAAAAATGCATGAAACCTTAAAATTATACAATACTTTTTGCTTTTTCGTCATGTAAAATCCCCAAAACATACTTTTATCCTTGACAAAATGTGAAAATGTTCAAGGGGCATGAATATTTTTGCAAGGCATTGGATGTCTTTCTGAGTACATTTCTTCAGATAGTATTCTCGTATTTCAGAGAAAAAGAATAACATAATATGATGGAAACTGAAATTTACTACTTCTGCATTGGGTTGGCATACAATGTGTGAGTTGGGAAGGAATTTGTCCTGGTGTGTTCTGCTTTAACACTGTACAGTTAATTACAGTATTAGTGTTTTTATTATGCTGATAGCCACTATGGTGACTGAATGCATGACTCGTCACATCCATAGTAAGGTCCAAAGGGAAAGGTTATCTGGAAAATTATGCTCGGTTTATTATGAAGACATAAAACCTAATCTTTTACAAATGATAAAGTACATATTTTAAGCGTCTTGTTGCTTAAATATAATTTTAAGCAACAATAATAATATAATATCCTGTTGCCCTCTTTATTCAGAAATGTACATCTAGGGGAAAATTCAATAAGAATAACTTTCATCAAGGCTCAAAGGTGAGAAAACTGAGGTTCTGTTTCATAATTAAGAAAAGATCTAGAGAATTTTCAGAAACTACAACAGTCATGTTTGTGTACTGTGAGAGGAAACCAGAGTATTCAGAGAAAAAGGATATGGAGAAAGACCCCCATGCCGGGATTCGAACACAAGACCTTTTTATGTTGAACCAAATGTGCCACTATGCAGCAATGGAGACAGAAAAAGAGACAAAGATGTTTGCATTTTAACATTTTTAAGAAAAGAGATTAGAAGAGATGTGGCTGGTGTTGGCAGTGGCGGTTTCTGTGGCATGGGCCTCTGGCTGTTGCCCCAAAGTCACCCAGTAACTACATTGTTAAAAAAGTCTCTAATTTACTGTTTCCAGATTTACTGGAAACTGTAAATCTGTATTTATACTGTAAATTTCTGGCAATCAGTATTTCACTATAAATTTGAGATGTTTTTTTTTATTATTTACAATATCAAATTAATCTGTAATATGTGGTCTTAATTAAATTTAGATGCTTCAATTAAAAATCTGAATAAATATTTAAGCGTTTATAACCTATTTTATTTTTCTGTATTCAGAGTGAAAACACACTTTAATTACAACCCTTCTAACTTCAACATAACTCTAATATAAGGATATGCAAAATGCCAGATTTCATTATTAACATCTGACTTCCCTCAGCTCTAATTTTGTATTTATGTCTCCAGATTTCTTGAAGACTCCTCTGGATGAATATGTGCAGAAGCTGCGAATAGTGCGTGTCCTGCGTCAGAAGGAGAGAAAAGGCCTGATCACAGCCAGGCTGATGGGGGCTCAGGCTGCACAGGGGGAAGTCCTTACCTTCCTAGACTCCCACTGTGAGTTTCTAGCTTTGATTTTTACATGCAGAGGAAAAATGTCTGGCTTAGCAATGTGTTTGGTTATTACAATAGTATTTCTATGCAGCAGTATTTCATAAGATAGTTTCCAGCTAGTGAAAAAATGTTTTCAGTTTTCTTTTTGTTTTATAGGTGAATGTTTTCCTGGCTGGCTGGAGCCTCTTCTGGCTCGAATAGTTGAAGAGCCCAGGGCCGTGGTGAGCCCGAGAATCACGTCTATCAATAATCGCAGCCTGAGATTTCAGAAACCGCAGCCTAAACCGCAAAACTACAGCCGGGGAAATTTTGATTGGGGACTCAAGTTTGGATGGGAACGTGTTCCAGACGAAGAGAAGAAGCACAGGAAGAATGAGACATACCCTATTAGGTAAATGCAAATAGATCCAACAAAGAAAGTATAAGTTTCCTCAAGTAAAAATACATCACAACTAAATACCTGTTAAACGAGCTTTCTCTGATTTTACTGAAATAATTGATCAATTTACATTTGTCTTTCTTGATAAAGAGGTTGGAGGTCATTTTTGATGTGAAGTAATTTTGATTTTTGATCTGTTGTTTTTTTTTTTTTTTAGAAACTTTGAATAATTAATTGAATGTATGTGTGATTAAATTTAAATTACTTTTTGTAGTGCCTTAAGATGATATTTGTAGGGGTGTGGCAGAATATAAATAAAGGCTACATTCACACTGTAGCCTGAAGCAACCCAATTTGTCAAATCACATTTATTTGCTGTGGCCGTTTTATTTCACTCTTCCAAATATATGCGACCTGTATGTGATCTCCAGTGTGAACTGCAAACCCGCATGCGCACTAGAGGGCGCAATAACACATAGAGAGAGTGTGCTCAGTGTTTTGCCAACCGCCATGAAGAAGAAGAAGTGTTTGCGGAAGCAAGGTTATCAATCAATCAATCAATCAATCAATCAATCAATCAATCAATCAATCAATCAATCAATCAATCAATCAATCAATCAATCAATCATCACAAGTTTGTTCCAAATTTGTGGTGCATAGATGCTGAATGCTGCTTCTCCTCGTTTGGTTCTGGTTCTGGGGGAGTTTCATAACTGAAATGTAACCCTTAAAGCACCATATTCGAAAAATATTTGGATTATATTTTGTGGTTTTAAAGGCTCTACATTAAAGACAGTGGGAAATAAAGTCATAGCTTTCTGTTTCTTCTATCTGTACTCTTCTGTTCTCGGCTCCCAAACACAGAGCTGTCTGCCAGTCCTCAGTCTCTCCCTCTAGTTTCAAACTCTTCTAATTGAAAGGTCAGATATAGGTCACATTACGTCAAAAAAAAAAATCGAAATTGGGTCACTTCAGGATGCCATGTAAACGCTGCCAAACTGAATTGAATTATTTTCTAAGTGAAAGAGAACTTGGATAAAATGAATTTTCTCAATAGATTAAGTTTGTTTTTGAATCTTAAATAAATTTGCTGTGACATTGCTGCTGTGAGAAACATTGCCATCATATTTTACAGAACGCCTACCTTCGCTGGTGGTCTGTTCTCTATTTTGAAATCCTACTTTGAGCAAATTGGATCCTATGATGACCAGATGGAGTTCTGGGGAGGGGAGAATCTTGAAATGTCTTTCAGGGTAAGAAATGTACATGAAATGCAGTGCAAATGTTTTCGTACCATTGAAGCTTGTTGGAATTGTTCTATATTCTACAGATTAGCACAAGTATTGCAGCTTGTTGGCTCTCCTGGCTCCTCCTGGCTCTGCTTGTTTGCTTTCCACAGAAGTGCATTTCTGCAGATGACTGTAGAATCACAGAGAGGAGGCAGAAGAACTAATTTTTTCCCCATAGACTATCTGTCGAGACATTATGACATTTTCAACAAATTTGTAAAAAAACACATTTTTGTCAAAGTTATAGCTTTTATGGAGAAATAATTTTTAAAACAATACATCTCTTTTCCTTGCACTTGAAGATCATACTAACTTCCTTTCGTCTGTCACATTAATTCAAATTCAAAAATACTTTGCACGTCATTAATTCAAAATTCTTCAAAATGAAATATTAACAAATAACATTCAGATTTATGATGTGAAAAAGTTCAAGCATTATGAAGCATTAGGCACCACATGCCTTGAAAATTTTTTAAAGCGTTTTCTTGCCGTGTTTTTCTGTGCTGCAGGTTTGGCAGTGTGGAGGCCTGTTAGAGATCGTTCCTTGTTCTGTTGTCGGCCACATTTTCCGCAAGAAGAGCCCTCACAGGTTTCCAAATGGTAGCACAACCATCCTCCGCAACTTGGTGCGTCTGGCTGAGGTCTGGATGGATGACTACAAGTGGATCTTCTATCGTGCAAACAGAAAGGCTGCCTTAATTTTTCGAACAGTAAGAATAAATAACATCTTGAAGATATCTTGAAATTAAGCATTTTATTATTGTTTTGCCATAACCTTGTTGTTTATATATTTTCATTTACTTCCCAGGACTCATACGGCGATGTTTCTGAGCGCCGTAAACTCAGAGAAGAACTTAACTGCAAGAACTTTTCTTGGTACCTGAACAATATTTACCCAGAGGCATATGTCCCTGAAATCAGGCCCATCATCTATGGACAGGTACCTACTTTGTCTTCCAACTGTTTGTGTTTTGCAAAAACATTTCACTGCATTGTTAAGATGTTGTCAAGTAAGGCATTCAGAGATTCAGCTTTACAAACCTCACAGTTCATTATTTTGTTGTTTATTATAATGAAGTTAAACAACACCAGTTTCGGCTGCCGGCTGGATGTGGGAAGAGTCAAAAACCGCTGGAAGGAGGGCCAAATCTTCAAATGTAACAACCGAGGCGAAGCTCAGGTATTGCACCTTTAGTTAAATACCTCTTTCTAAGGCAAGATCCCACATTATAATTACTTTTAAAATCTATTTTAAGAAAGTATATTTTGTGCTCCTTGGAGTTTATCAATGGCGTCAAGTTTGACTTTGCATTTTGTGGGACCATTGTTTTTGTGAGTAGTTACAGTAAATGCAATTTCAAATTGAAAACTACGAATCAAGCTTTTGTAAAAAGCAATGCCAAACAATAATAGTGCTCATGTACTTCTCATATACTTTTTGTAATATCATTAGACAGGCATTCTCATTACTTTCTGTTGGTTTATCATTGATAATTGGCAGCTCTTGAGGATGATATAAAGGTTTATCGAGATTGATTACAGTTCAAATACTAATCTAAAGCAAACTAATCTGCCCTTTAATTGTATAAAATTAGGATGTTTGTCCTGCAAAACTGATTTCCTACTTTATCAACCATCAGGCTAGTTTAAATTCAACATGCAACCACCTCCTTCTTCCATTTGGCATCAGTGTTTTAAACATGGCTAGTTCGTATGCAGATATTGAAAACGCCATAAATAAACCAGTCTTTCATTAAAGTAGCAAGTTTCACGTTGAAAAATTCAAAATGACATTTCATAAGGCTGGAACATACCAAAAGAGGGATATTTGAAGGATGCCTCAGATACACCAGCATCCTTTGTCATATTCTTCCCTTCAGCAATAAGTTTCCTCCAGGATTCAGGTCCAGCCTGGTACTGAGTCGGCCATGGAGGGAGGCTGATTCACTGTCTAAGTAACCATGTCTGTGCTGAGGTGGTCTTCAGATCATTGTTTTGTTGAAAGACCCAATAACAACCCATTTGTAGTTTACAGACAGAACATTGGGTTCTTTGTTAAAGGTATTTGGTATTTCAAAGACTTCATGGTAAAAGTCATTCCAACAAGGGCCTATCAAACCGAATCAGCCCCAAAACATCAAAATCTCTCCATATGATTTATCAATGCACATGAGGTGCTTTGCCAACCAAAGTACATGGTTGCTATTAAAGCTTTAGCAGGACTTAGCAAATTTCACATATTTGCATTTGTGGTGGTGGATTAGAAAATGCCTCATTCAGTTGTAATTATGAAGACTTGGTGACCCTAAGCTACCAGTTTGACTGAAGTTCTCTAACAGTTTTTGTTAGTTTCTCCTGACTGAAAATGATGGCTCATATAAATTCTTATTCTTTCTTGATTGTCATGTTTACAGTTGTTTGAAAGCTTTTAATTATTGACCTGACTATAAACAGAGGTTTAATTTACACCAGACATCTGCAACCTGCCAGACATATGCAATGCTCTGGCTCCTCCACAGTGACTATGAATTGTACAAAACGAAATGGTATGACGAATAATTTATATATAAAGACTATGGGTTACATTCAGATTTTTTTCACAGTTGTTTTTGTTTGGATCTATAAATAAACTCATAAAGCAGTTTAGGATATTAATAATAATGAAAGCGATCACTTTCTTCATCTAAATATTATGTTTTTCCCTTTCTAGTATTTTGAGTATACCTCCAAGAGAGAGATTCGACTCAGTGCTGGCAATCAGTTGTGCTTACATGCAGACTCTGAAATGGCTTTGGTTTTTCTTGAGCTGTGTGAATCGAAGGGAGAAGCAGCACAAGAGCAAGTCTGGATCTTCACAGAGGTGAATTAATGTATTTCCACATCATCTAAGCCTTTTGCTGTTACAACAGTGGCTTTGTTGCAAAGGGAGGAAGAAAGATTTCAATTTCCTCATTCTTGCTGCTCAGTTGTGCACTTCTTAAATATTCAAAATGACATTCTACATTTTTATTGTTGTTTTGGCAGAAAAACCAAATGAAGAACCCTTTATCAAGCAAGTGTTTGTCAGTCGCCGGTGGCAACGTGATTTTGTCTAAATGCAGATCCACCTCAGAGAACCAGAGCTGGGTCTTCATCCGAGCGAAGTAAGAGGCTCCGAGCATGTGGCCTGCCTCTGCTACCAGTGTTTCCTGAATAAGGTTTAAACATAAACAAATAAGACAAAATGGTTCCAATTAATCAAATCTTTGCATTGTGGTATTAATGCTTATCCAGATAAAAGTCCAGAGGCTTTTATTTAAACATAAAAATGTGTTTTTTTTTCTCTTTTTTCCCTCCTTGTGGCTCAGACAGGAGATTATTGTAGACACAAATCAGTGCTGGTATTCAGTCAGTTCAGCATACATGTCAGAGTAGCATATTTCTGCCAGGCATCAAGTCCACCATGTTTAGAGAATCCAACAATCCAGCAAGGTATAAATAAGTATTTTTTCCTATGATTCAGATGTGTTTGATGATCTGACATGTAAATTGTTGCCAGGGTGTCTTACTGTTGTCAAAAACAAACGTATGGTGATCTGACAGTCAGTTTAGCTTACTAAAAACAAAGTGTATGGTATGCAGTGGTTAGTTTGTGCTGTATGGAATAGTGAGCATTTGAAAGTATGAACTCAATATGAATGGGTATGTATAAAGTTTAATAATATTATTTGAAGTCAAGTATATATATAATTTATGTAACTCATTGTAGCCACTTTTTGACCAGCACAATAAAGTCATACATTTTTACTTTGCATTGGTTAATTAATTTATTTTTTTTAAACGTGTGCATGTGTTTGGGTACTTTTATTTCATCTCTTTAATTGGGTTGACATTCATGTGGGTTCAGTTTGAAATCAAAAGATGTATTTTCCAAATTATCTGCAAAAAAATGCAACAGGAACAGTCTACAAGGTCAGGGAAAGTTGGAGGTTGCTTGGTGCATTCAATGTGTCTTGGAAATCAAACCAGCCAAAGTGTTAACAGATTGTTTATACCTGCAACTTTTATTATATTCAATTAGCTTGGGAGTCAAATTGAATACTAAACCAAGGCATTCTTGGCAACCTCCAACTTTCACAGTTGGAATGTTTACTTCATGAGGTGCTCTTGCTAATTTAATGACTGGGAATTCAGAAAATTTGACCTCCATTTGCAAAGATAACACACCTCTGAATGGTCCAGTGTTCAGTTTCCTGCAAGGCTGTTATGTATAAAAACAGGGGAAATGTTGCAGGTATAAACTGTTTCTTTTCTGGGCTTTATTATTATTATTATTATTATTATTATTATTATTATTATTATTATTATTATTATTATTATTAAAACAGTCTGGACACAAAGTGTTACTTTGGCTTAGAATGTTTGTGTATGTGCCTTTTTTTTTGCCACATTTTAATACAAAAAGGGGAGGAAGTACAGTATCAATTAAATCCAACTTGTTTTTTCAAAATTCACATTTTTATATTATAATACTAAAGAAACTGTTTTAACCAATATTTGTGGATTTGTGCTACATTTATGTAAATATAGGTTCTGGCTAAGGTCTGTTCTAAAAAGACAAAAACGTACAGTGTCAACATATTATTTTTAGAATTATCTCCATATGCTAAAATAGACCCCAAAACAATGTTGCAACAAAGCTGAATGTATCAGGGTGATGCAACAAAGTTGCTGAAATAGACTATACCAAAAACAAAGAAGAAACATTGAAACAAGAGCTCTATTACAATCATAATGCTTATTTAATTTGTTGCCTTTTGGCATTAAAATACCAGAACTCACACATATTCCAGAATTATTTTCTGCCTGATTAAACAATTTTACACTTAAAATATACTGCTAAAAAAAATAAAGGGAACACTCAAACAACACAATATAACTCCAAGTAAATCAAACTTCTGTGAAATCAAACTGTCCACTTAGGAAGCAACACTGATTGACAATCAATTTCACCTGCTGTTGTGCAAATGGAATAGACAACAGGTGGAAATTATTTTCATATTTATTTCATTCATTCAGATCTAGGATGTGTTATTTGAGTGTTCCCTTTATTTTTTTTTAGCAGTGTATATTATGATCAGTTTTAAATGTATGTAGATTAAGATAAGTGAGTAACTGATTAAAATAACTCGCATTTTAACGCTGTAGCGTTTGGGGGCGGAGTCTCTGAGTCTCTTTATATTTCGCCCCTCGCTTCTCTCAGTGATGGGATCCGCCGCGAGCGCTGGTGAGTTTGTGTTAAACCAATAAAATCTCTCAGTTTTGCCTTGTCATCTCAACAGGGAAGTAGGCAGCACTTACAAATTCACGTCGCCAGGCTTGGCTTCCGTCGCAGGTAGGGAGTTTGCAGAAAGCCTGCGTCCGGTCTCCGGGTCTGTTCAGGATTTAACAGCCAGGTTTATCATCTTCTTAACAAACCTGTAAGTAGCAGGACTGTTCGCTTCACTGGTGTTAACTTTGACGCTTGTTGCGGTTAGCTGCCGTTAAGCTAGAGGCTGTTAGCTTGCTGTACGCTTCAGTTTGGGGTTTGTTTCTTGCTACAACAGCCTGTGAGACGAGGGGGTTGATGGCTGAGCTGGGATGAGAGCTTTGTTATATGGTATATTATTTGTTGTCTGGAATATTATTTTTAGATTGACAGCTGCTGCTCATGAAAACAATCACTCCTGATTGTCAACAAAGAGCTATATTTAAAGGTAATGTTCGCTGCTGTCAGCTTTATCACGCTGTGGTGCAGCAAGGTTTAACCCTCTAAATAGAGGATTTGAGGAGGATTTGACTAATATCATTACGGTTGGTTGTGTGCAGCCTTTTTGACAAGAACCCCAAGGAACGTGAGGTGTACTTTGTAAAAGAGACCCAGCAGATCAGGAGAAAATATTGAACAAACTACTTCCTTATTGGTTGGAATTCACTGCCTTTTAGATTTTAAGCTAAAGAAAGTTGTAATTGACTGGCATTTAATAATGTTTCAAGCAATGAGTCCCTGGCTTTCTGTTACTCCAGTATTTTTTTAAACATTTTTAATTTGCCCGCTTAACTTCAGCTGATAGTTTGTTTTAGTCTATCTAGTCTTTTTGTCTGAATGCTGAATGTTTGCAGTAATGCTAGTGAAATAATTTGACATGATACTAGTAAGTATGACTAATGGTGATAATACAGTTTTTATATTGTACATTTTCAGAAGTAGTGATCTCAACATGTTTTATATGATAAATGCATAAAACAAACTATCAAGTAAAAAGGGCAATGAGCTTACAGCAACAATAAAAATGTTAGTGGTTCAGAGACAAAGATGCTAAGAAAATCAAATTAAACCTAGTGAAAAAAAGTTTTAAAGCTAAAAGTAGTCAAAAAGTTAACATTTCTCAAAGCATTGGTAGATTATTGCATCTTCCCTCCTTAGCTGAGCTGGGTTAGGTCGCCGGGTTAGGACATGGGTTAGGTCATGTCCTCTGATCCAGTGGCTACTACCACTGCCCCACCTGATAAACAGGTTTTTAGTAGGATGGATGGCTTTTCTTTCTTTCTTCTTTTTGATTAATGGAAAACAATAAGCCCAGAATTTATGGTTTCATTTACCTTTAGCATATTTGAATAAGCAGCAGTTAAAAACTAATCATTATCCATTAAGTTACACATGAATGAAACATGATTATTACTTTTAGGCTTCAGGAACATTAAAACATTGCTTTCTTATTTATTTTATTTTTTCAATTATGCAATTTGTTTTGCAAGCCAGTGCAGACTGCAGTAACACTAAATCAATGTTTTGATAAATTTTAGGTGATTTTGGTTGTACTTTAAATGTATATATATATACACTGCTAGAAAAAATAAAGGGAACACTCAAATAATACATCCTAGATCTGAATGAATGAAATAAGTCTGAAAATAATTTCCACCTGTTGTCTATTCCATTTGCACAACAGCAGGTGAAATTGATTGTCAATCAGTGTTGCTTCCTAAGTGGACAGTTTGATTTCACAGAAGTTTGATTTACTTGGAGTTATATTGTGTTGAGTGTTCCCTTTATTTTTTTTGAGCAGTGTATATATATATATAATTTATTTTTATAATGGAAAACAGAGGTAAGGCATATTACTGAAATTTAGAAATGAGCAAAGATTCAAAAGGTTTTTCTTTATCTTTTCTTTAGTGTTGCATATTATCATGCATTGTGGCTTGGATTAATAAAAATGACATGCAGTGACACGAGAAAATAAATGTCAGGAAAAGAAGAGCATTTTTGTAGTTAGATAAAAAGCCTCCACTTGCTTTGCATATTGTTGAGAATATTTCAAACTGCTTCATATGGTTTTTGTCTGGAATATTATTTTTAGATTGACATGTCTTCTAATGTTTATAAAAGCATCAGTTCTACTGCTTTGAGTTTGAGGAGCAGATGGGGTATTACACAATCCTGAGTGCTCAGCAGAAGACATCAAGCTTTGTAAATTGAGAAGTCCCTTATAGTTACCTTTTATTATCCCTTTTAGTAGAGTTCTGGGAAAAAAACCCTTACATATTTTTTTATTTATTTTTTATTTTACTTTTTTAAAAGAAATTTGAGATGATCAAAAATCAGACAAATAATTGCATTAATCCAAAATTATGTTGGTTCACTGATATTAAATTTAACTGTTTATTTATTATTACCAAATACATCCTCAAATATAATTAATAGAACCATCAAGAAAAAGTTATGAGGAATATATGATGCAACTTTTAAAGCAGTTTTGTCCAAAACCTTTAGATCAGGGCTGCCCAAAGTCGGTCCTTGAGGGACATGTTATACTTCTCTCCCTGGTTTAATGCACCTGAATCCAATGATGACTTGTTAGATAGCCTAAGAAGAACATTAACATGCTGAAAAGGTTCTTATTACCACCAGTGAGAGAATTGAAACATGCAGGATGCTGGCCCTCAAGGAACGACTTTGGGCACCCCTGTTTTAGACCATCTTATTTAATACCAGTTGGTTCTTTTCAACTCTACATTTTTCTCCAGGATGAAAAATAACTACTTTAACAAATTGTCCACATTGTATTACAACAATAATTGAATTGGAAAGCATCTAATATAATTTTGATGTTTGATTGAATTATGTATTTTTGAATTTGTACTAATGCTGTTTAATTCATAAAGCATCGGCATCAACATGGCATCTTTTCCCATGTCATTCTGCAGAACGCCACAGTCTCCAAAAACGCGGACCCGGTCACCAGGAAATGCCCACAGACTCCAGGAAAGGGAGCTCAGCCACACCTGGTAAGGCCTTCATAGAGTCCTGAACACCAGGTCATAAGGTCACTCTGTAATGCATATAACAACCAAGCTAATAGAGATCTATCATGTCCTTCACACCTCTGAATAATCCCATTTGTCTGGCATAATCCCCTTTATTTGCCTCTTTTTTTTGTGTGTTTTTCTGATTTTTCAGAGAAAATGACGCTTCCCCTGTCTCGTTCGGAGGTCTTTGGCGAGCTGCGCCAGGAGCTCTACGACGATGAAAAGTTCCACCACACCGACGTGCACGTCTTCGTCATCATGGGAGCGTCGGTGAGCATCCCGACCTGAGAGCTAGTGAAGGGTTCTCTCTGACCTGCCGTTTCTATTTTTGGTTGTAGTTCCACTTTTAGGCTTGAACCTTTGGCCACTGTTTACTGGAAAGAGTTTTGAAATAAAGAGTAACAATTGCGCTGATTTCAACAAGCTGTGAGCAAATATTGCTTGATCTGC